GGAACGCATGTAAGATTTAGGCTTTTAGGGTTTCATGGGGTTTGGTGAAGGGAGCCTGCATGATCCTTGATAAGTTATGGTAGTATACTGTGGGGGGTCATGCAGGATTTTGTCCATCACCGGTAGACGGCTTGGTCTCAAGATGAGGCTGACCAACACCGATGACAATTCTCATAGGGACCTAGAGCATGTGGGCCAGTAGTAAAAAATAGCAGTGACAGTAAAAGCCCAGGCCATTCGTAGAATCTTATGATATGATTACTATTAAGGGTTTAGGGTTTAGGGCAGGGTCTTTCTCGTAGTTGTATTGCTCTTCCCCCGAACTGCGTGGAGGGGCCTAGCGAATTGAGATCCTGAGGCTTTTGTCGGAGGCTCTTCCCTGGAAAGCAGCACAAGCCTAAACCCGAAGTTTGGGCTAGTAAGTTTTGAGGTTCTCTAGGTTTAGGAGACCCAAAACCCTAAGTTTCGGATTCATGGGTTGCATCTTTTGGACAGAGAAGAACTGCCCCCAAGACACACCCCTTGAATGAGACCTCCACTCTCGAAGGGCTGCGGCAACAGAGTTCCCTCAAAACACAGGTCCCCAAGCGCGGAGTAAGCACCCTAAACCCTGAACACTGAACCCTAAACCCACCACCGCAAACTCCCCCCTCTACGCTCCTCACTGCAATTCTTCTCACGCGCTGGATTTTCTCATTTCTGGCTGGGTAGGCCCCTGGAACCATATATACTAATATTGTTCAAAAGGTTTTAGGGGCCAACCCAGCTGGCAACCAGCCATTTGAGAATTGTGCAAAGCCTTGAAGCCCACAGCCGGCCGCGCGAAATGGCTCAACAAAGTCTCAGGCAGCTGAATTGGGCCAAGACTCTAGGTTATCTCATGCCCTCAATTGTCCGGGAGTCTTGCAGCTGCTTGGGGACTTACAGTCAAGACTTTGTCAATTGTCTGAACGCTGTCTTCATGCAATTCCCGGCATTGACCTGCAAGTCAGCGCGACACAGTTTAGGGAATATGCAGCAAGAGACACAGCCATCCTCCCACATCTTGAAGCCTTAGCCTGCTGCTTGAAGCAACTCTTGCCACGTGCAGCAGATTTAGCCCATACCTTAGACATATACAGCTCCAAGTTAGATTGTTCTAAACCCCATCAGCATTCTTTTGCTGCCTGGGGTAGCCTCTAGTCGGCAATGCCCTTCGTTGGCGGTGGTAAGGCCCGACGGTACCAGCCAGTTCAGTGTGACGGCATACACCTACCCGTAGCAGCCCACTACAAGCCTCGTTTTAAAAGTTGCCAGAGACGAACATGCCTTTTATGGCAGGCACATGCAATTTCTCTCACCTGCCGAGTGTGCAGTAGCGCTTAGTATTGTACTTTTGATTACACCCGAAAACCCATTTGCTCTGCAAGTAGCTTCCACTGATTCAATGACCTTTCGGGGTTGTTGGCAATCGCTCGCGGGTGTTGAAGCTTGCCACTGTTTGCCAACCCTTCCGGTTTAGGGCTTAGGGTTTAGAGTACAGGGATAAGATGGCTTTGGTAACCTCAACCCCCCGAAGCCCAAAACTAGGACCCTACAAGGATCATGTGGCTACGATAGGGTGCTAGTTTGGGGAGTGCATGGCATCAGGGGGGCAAATCGAGCTTTCATATATATATATATGTATATGGGGATCTCCCTTTCTAGGGTTACTATTTTGGGAGTCCCCATAATAAGGACTATAGTATATTAGGGTCTATATTGGGGTCCCCTTATTTCGGGAAACTACCATATATACATATATATATATATATGTATATCACTCATAGGGTGCTGGCGCAAGCGATGGGCATTTCAGAATCTAGGGGTGCTTGGGTTTGTGAACTATAGTCCTACTGCGTAGCTACCGCCGCTCCTAACCCTAAATCCCAAATCCTATTCATTCCTTGGAATACAGTAGCTCTAAACTCTAGACTCTATAGTCCCCATTAAGTAGATAGAATATGGGACATATGGGGATCTGATTATAACATACCCAAAGCCATATTCTATCTACCTAAGGGGACTATAGAATCATGAGTCCTAGTCATCCCATGCCTTGCGCAAACCCAGGTTAGGGTTACACCCTTCTTTCTCAGAGACACGGGTTCGCGTTCCGTAGAACTTTGTAGAACTGGGTAGGCCCCTGGGACATTCAATATTTTCCTTAATGGCCTTAATAGGGGACCATATATACTATTTTTCAATTGGTTTTAGGGGCCAACCTAGAGAAGTCGTCAAGACCACGAGAACCCCTTCCCACGCCCCTTCCCACAGCAGTCCGGAACGGTCCAAGTATCCAACAATCATATACTCCCCCAAACCGGCTCTCAACTACAATTACGCGAGCCCCAAGTACCCTAGTTTCATTGGTGTTTGGCCTCTGGGGGAAAATCCCCCGAACCTGCTAACAGTAAATATGTCCCCCATTACACAATGGTATGATGTTGGGGGTATTTATCATCGGTAACCCCAGCCTTTAATAATGCATACTGTCCCGATTATTTCTACATATATATATATATACATATGTATTGGTACTCTTTGCAGCGCGTTAAGCCCTAAACCCTCTCGTTATTTTGACGGGTGGGGTCGGTCCCCCTACACTTATGAGCTTCGAGTTCCTACCAACGTATGAGCCACCACATCACGCAGATCATTTGAGGGTTTCGGCTTGGGGTTTAGGGCTTAGGCTTAGGGTTTAGTATTTAAGCTTAGTAGGGTTCGGGTTGAGGGTTTAGGGTGTCTCTTCAAGGTTCAAGGTATCCTTCAAATCCCTGTCAACAACTACATCTACACAAGCCTCGAAACGCCCTAGGTCCGCACTCACATCCACCCCCTGCCTAATGTCCATACCGCCCCTATATAATCCCCATAGCATCCTAGTTTCCATTTCATGCTCCGTGTGCTTTTCCGTTTTATTCCCACTATCTGAACCCTAAGCCCTAATTAGCAGCTTCCATGTTCGTTCCCATTTTCCCCACATAAGCCCTTAATATCACTAAACCCTAAACCCTACATGGTAGCTTCCATTTACCATTTTCGGCAATAATAAGCCCATAACATTCCTGAAGCCTATTCAAACCTTTGCGCTGAGAAGGGGTCAAATGAAGTCAAACTGACTAACCTGCACCCTTAGATCTTAAATCAGGCTTTAGGGTTCAGGGTCTCTTTTTGATGGTACGTACAGTATATATATGTATATGTACAGCATAAAGATTATGTCAACTATTTGGGAGTCTGGTTGCTGTGCCTCCTCTTGGGAAACTACCATGTGGGTTGGGTACTGCCCCCCCCTTATTAACTGTTGGATGATATTCATGATTTATTTATATATAGTCCTTAATATGACCCCTAATATTGACTGTTAATGGGTGGGGGGCAGGACCCAACAAATAGGAGTGTCTCAACATCGTCTCTTTAGACGCTTCATGAGTTGCCCCAGACTTTGCTTCTGTTGCTCTTATATTCCGCAGGGGGCCGTTCGGGCTTCTTGTTGTGAGGAACCTTCAATCCCCTACCTCTACCCCGGGGATCCCGAAGTCATTAAACAACGCCTGCTTTAGGTTTGCTTGGAGGGTCAGGGGACTTAGTAAGTAGGGTAATAACTAGGATAACTAGGGTTACCATATGGGTTATAGGGGTTATTAACCTACTTACTAAGTCTCCCTGACCCTCCAAATAAGTATCCCCAAATAGAAGCTACATAGACCCTATTTTAGGGTACTGGGGGTGACCCTACTTGTGGGGACCCCCCGTCGACGTAGCAGCAGAGCCCTTGCCTGAAGGAGCCAGCAATCCCGTGAATCGTGGAGCCCTCCAAACCCTTCAACCCCGAAGGCCCAAAACCCTCAGGGTTCAGGATTTAGGGTTTAGGATTTAGGGTTCAGGGCTTAGGATTTAAGGTTTAAGGTTTAGGGTTCAGGATTTAGGGTTTAGGGCTACCCGAAAACCCTAAGATCCTCACGTCCTGAATGCATGAAACCCTAAGCCTCCAAATCCCAAAGCCCAAAACCCTATGCCCCACAACCCTTAGCCACAAAGCCCTAAACCCTGAAACCCAGAACCCACCCTGACGCCCAAAATCTTCGAGCTTAGACCTCCGAGTAAGAGCCTTAAACCCTGAAGACCTCTAAGGGCCTATGGTCAAAGGGGTTTAGGGTTTAGGGTTACTGCTGTGGCTAACCCTGAAGACCTCTGGTTTCAGAGTTAGGGGATTTTGGGGGCTTACAGGGTTTGGGGTGGCAACTAACAACATCATTGAGGGTATAGAGATTTTACGGGGGTGTGTAGGGGTTATGAATCTCTGCAGGAATCGTCAAGAATCGCGCAGCCCGTATCCGGAATTTCTGAACCTCCAAATATTAAGAACTCTAAGCCCTACATAATCCTCTAAGTCCACATCCGGCTCCTGATGCCCAGCGCCAACAAACACCCCTACACCTCCCATACTGACTCATCAAGACCCTAAACCCTGAATCTTGAACCTTCTCTTCAAAACCCTACAAACTGAACCCGGAACCTTCTCTTCGAGAGTTTAAACCCATCCTGCTGGCTCCCCACTGGTCGTATCTAAATTCGCACTACTTGGGGATAATCATTCGGGCTAACTGCCGCCAATTCATGAGGATAGAGGGGGCGGTTTCCCAAACCAGAACATCTGCACTCTAGATCCTCAAATGTTTATAAACACCCTAAATTTAGGGTGTCTCGGGTTTAGGGCTTACGGCTTCTAATCTAAACCTAGACCCTGAATTTGAGCCATGAAGCCAAAAACTAAACCTCAGGGGATTTCCTAAGTATACTCACAACAACTCTAGACCATATTACAACCCGCAGATATCCCCATTAGTCAACTACCTACTAGATCCCTGACCCTAAACCTTGAACCCTACGCCCTAACAAATACATGAGCTATCATTTTCTCTTGCATTATCAACCTACTTACTAAGTTCCCCCAACCCTGCAAGCATGAATCCATCCTGCTGGCGGACTTCTTCGGCAAGCTCGGCTTCTTGACGCCTCTTCTCGGCTGCAGCCTAGGGTTTCCGAGCTTTGGGGTCTTTTATGGTTTGGGGCTTCCGCCTTGGGCCTTAAACTTTTTTGACTTCAGGTTTTAGGGTTTAGGATTTTAGGGCTTGGGGCTTAGGTTTTGGAGCCCTAGACGTAAGGCTTAGGTTTTAGTTTTGTGTTTTCAGGAGTCTGGGGAAAGGTTTTACGACTCGTCATGGGAAGCGACGCGCATGCGAAGTATGAGCCATGTTAAAATTATTATCCAACTGTTACTGAGGGGGGGGCAGTACCCAACCTAAAACCCTAAACACTAAACCGCGCGCAAACCGGCATCCATTTGGGCAGGCACATTCCTACGAGAGCCTCACCGGAAGGAAGAAACAGGTGAGGCCAAGCTCTTCGCAAGAAAGTGACTTTGCCGAAAGTTCTGCCACGCCAAGCACTCTATGGGTTCCACAAGGATCCAAACACGGTCCAGGGTTTAGGTTCAAAGGTGGTTGGGATGCAGGGCTCATGGTCAACCCCAAAGCCTAATAAGCCTTGAACCCTTCCACCCTTAAGCCTACTTAGTTGAGTTCTTCGAAGCCCTTCCTCCCTTCCCTGGATCAAAAACCCTCAGCCCTACACCCTGATCTTCAAACCCTTATCCCAAAACCCTAAACCGTAGTCCCCAAACAAACCAACCATAGCCCACCCTAACAGCAGCCAACATCTAAGAAGAAGAGAAGTCTTGGCCGTTTCAGCCATTGCGGCACGTCATCTCCAGCTTCATGCGAGTAGTGTTTTTTTGGTGGTTAAACCTAGTAAGATTATATTCCTTATATAAAATGCTATACCCCAACGGGAGGATAGAATGTTACTCTGTATTGGGTACCATAGTATCCCCAAATAAAATACTACTCATGCCTGGAAAGGAATCCTCCCCAAATTTCTGCAGGATCTCCTTGACATCCTCCGGGTAAGCTTTGCTGCCGACGGGCTGTTCGGATGGCACTTCGAACAGCCAATGCAACTTGCGGATCCCATCCGGTTCTTCTCGACCGGCTTGTAGTAGACGATGTGCTTTTTGAGCGCCGGGGTTCAGGTTTCGAGGTTTAGGGTTCAGGGTTTAAACCCTCAACCCTGAACCCTAAACCCATAACCTTAAAATCCCGAAAGTTTAGGGTTGAGGGAGCGTTTGGCGCTCCCTACCTAAAAATGGCAATTCCAACAAGAAAATCATATGGAACCTGCGGGATGACAGAGGGATATTCAGGGTTTAGGGTTTGGGGTTTAGGGTTTGGGGTCTGACTTGCTGATTGATTGTTGAAAGAAGGAACGGCAAAGAATAAACCGGAAAGTAGTGTATGTATAGGAGCTACTGTAGCGATCCATTCCTGCTGTCCATACTAACACCCTAAACCCTAAATCCTAAACCCTAAACTCTCAGCCCTAAACCACAATCCCTTAATTCTGCAGAAAACCTACAGGACCACCCCTCTACAATCCTTAAGATAAACAGGGGACCCCCCAACTTATGACCCTATAACCATCATATGCTAGTCATAGGGTCCTGATTTGGGGGGTTGGGGAATACCAAAATCCTTTTTATCATAAGAAGAGATCCAACACACATAAGGGCTAGGGGTTTACGGTTTAGCGTTCATGGTTTAATGTTTCGGGATCTAGGTGATACAGGGGCATACATGACCTTTAATATGATGGTTCTAGACTCCTTGTATCGTTATGGTCTAGGGTACCTCAAATGGACCTCCAAAGGTGTTGGTAGTTCTTCCCTGAACCCTCAACCCTACCCTGTTGGTGCAATAAGGATACATACTTGAATGCTCTCTTGACTTTGTACTTCTCATCGGATGTAGGAGTTATGGGGCCTCTAATGGGCCTGTGGGTTTTGGGTTTCGGGGCTTTGGGGCCTAAACCCTGAGCCTGAAACCCTAGTGGCTGGACTTACTAAGTCGAAAGAGCCTCCAAGTAGTGTTCATCCCCTTGCCCGAAACCTGACCCTTTTCCCGTAAGTAAAAGCATCAGACGATGCAACACTGAAGCCCAAACCCACAAGCCTGCCCTGCGAACCTGCTGTAGTGCGCTGCATATTTTGAAAAGGGATTTGGGTATGCTTCACCTCTGTGGTAGACGTTCTGAGTAGGGAATATAATCGCTACAGAAGCTATATATACTATTTCCCGTGTTCTCTACTAAAGCCAGCAAGTAGCAGGATTCTCTGGGAATGATGTTGGTAAGTATGCAGACTTCTACTTGGCACCTTGAAACCTGAAACGCTGAAACGGACGTCGTTAGTTGCCAAAATCACGGTCCCATTTTCTTACTTCCAAATATGGGGTGTCGTAATACAATCCATGATCATAAGGGCCCAAAATTTTGACAACAAGCCAAGTCAACAACTTACCTGCATAGATTCCTCGATAGGGACTCTCATGATCCCTTCGCAGTCCTCGCATGTCCCTGAGGTCCCAAAAAGCAAGCTCGCCACGTTGAAGCACCCTAAGCTCTAAGCCTCAAGGCTTTACTTTTAACCTCGATTGCCTACTATCTTGTCTTGACTACCTCCTGAATAGTTGCTATAACTCATAAAACTGGTGCTGATTGGCGTTACAGGTAAGCCCTCAACCCCAGACCCTAGATGGAAAACCCTAAACCCTAAACCCCAAATCGTAAATCCCTAAACCTTTCCTCCCGATATTACAGAACCCTGGCCTTCAGACTCTGGGCCACAAAGGCACTGGCCTAGGTCAGCTGCAAAAATGGGTTTAGGATGGGGTTAGGGTTTGGGGTTGAGGGGTTTAGGGTTTAGGCTTAGGGTTTTTGGGTATCTACAGTTTAGGGTTGAAGCTTCATGACTTGATTCAAGCAGGAATATAAGTAAAATGAAGTACGCATGGTTTCTGACGACTATACCTCATGACGAGTGTTCCCACTTATACCATGATTTTTCACGGGTTTAGGCGTTAGGCTGCGGGCGGAAGCTTGCAGACAGACTTACCTCACGCATTAGAGGTTATACCTAATACCTGACGGTTTACTTGAGTGCAGGCAGTTGGGGTAACGGGTAAAGGTCAAGGTTTATGGTTTTGGAATTCCTAATTAACCCAGTTCGTTCAGAAATTCAGGGTTCAAAGAATTAAACCCTTAACTCATGGATTACCCTACTACCCTCCTCTATACCACTCCCCCCAGTACTGTTATCTAGGAATAAGTAGGCCTACTTAAGGTTCATTAAGGGGGAACCTTGAGGGGGGTGGGGTGTTGGGGGGTAGGGGAAACCCTAAACCGTGGATTCGAGACTTTCAAGGCTTGCGGGATTTAGTGCTTAATCTTCTTGCATGAAGTTTGCGGGCATTCCTTTTAAATGGGATATGATATGGGAGTTGTGTAAGAGTATCTTTTACAGCGTGGAGGGCTTAGGGCATTCAATGAATTTGGTGTCCTTTTTTGTGGAACTCCTGTGACTAGAAGGGGTAATCATGGCTCTCATTACCGGTAAGTAAGCTCATTGATCTGAGCAGCGGACAATGATCCCTGGGACTGAAACCCTAAACCATCCAACCCATCCTCCCCAACTAGGAACCCTAAACCCTAATATGAAGACTTCGGTCCTTTCAAAGGGGCTCTATGAGCTTCCATATCAGTTTGGGGGAGGGTAAACCAACCTAACCCTAAACGGCAAACCCTACGGCCATACAGTGGATGCACGAAATCTTGCTTCATCGTGATTTGTCACGGGTGGTGCAAGACTTCCCCCATCCGCAAAAGTTAGCACCTTAACAATTAAAGCCATGTGAACTATAGTCTAGACTCCTAGTATCCCCCCGGATAAACCCTAAAAGTCATTCCCTAGAAAATCCCTTATACCACTCCCCTCCAAGGAGTTTAGACTATAGCTCATGTGTAACCTAAAGCCCTGGACCCGTCCCGCCTGCTCCTCGGCCTCTTCGCGTGTCCGACGCGCATCGGCAATTTCCGCCTCGCGCTGCTCGTCGTGCAGCCTCGGCTCACAGGTAAGGTTTAGGGTTTACCCAGATCCTCCTATGTAGTTCATTTTTGGGTAGTATACTATAATCCGTTACCCCAAAAACCATGACAAACCCAAAAAGGAACTACATTGGAGCCCTTGGGTAGAGTTGAGGGTTTAGGATCGAGGACCTCCCCCCAGTACGAGATGGGGCTTTTTTTTTCTCGGGCGTGGGTGGTGGTTTGCATTATGAGTGGTGACACATGTTTAGGTAGCTTGCAGAAGCTCTAGAATTATGGCAGGAAATTGCGGCAATCCAGCGATATGACCTGACAAATCTCCCCAAACCCAACCATGCAAACCAAGTAATCCTGCATCTTTCAGGTTTAGGGTGACAGTTGGGCTTTCTAACAACCCCTCAACCGTTTACTCATCCCGAAAACGCATCAAGTTTTCTTCTTCTCGCATTATGGGCTTCTGGCCACACGCATGTAACATGTTTTTTACAGTACAAGGAAGTTAATGAAACTATGGCTATAATCTAATTATTATACTCTCGAATTATACCCTACACTGATCTACTATGATCTATGAAAACCTATTATGAACTCTTCTATTCTGATATAGTTCATGAGAACTTCTTATAGTCTACTGCGATCTACTGTATTGTACAACAATCTACTATAATCTGCTATTATCTACTGCAACGTACTAAAACCTAGCATAATCTACTATACTGCACTATAATCTACCCTAATCTACTATAATCTACCATGACCCACCGGAATCTAAAATCCACCGTAACGTACTTTAAGCTACTATATTCCACTCGAATCTACTACAGTCTACTATCATCTACTAAAGTAGGGGATATGTACACTTGATCTTTCCTGACAACCGATACTTTCTAGGTAACGTGGAGCACACGTCATTGCTGTGGCAATAAATCAGGAGTTGAGGTCTCGGGGCGATGTGGGGTCAAAGACACTGCAGGTGAAGACTTTGCGAACAGGCTCTTTCAAGTGATGTGAAATTCGGCCGGCATGATACAAGTAGCTTGTCATGCGAATCAAGAATTGTAGCTTCTCATACTACCCCCAAGATCCTAGCTTTCCATTTGGGATTCCAAAGATCACAGCGGTTCATGCGAGCCGTGCCCCTGGCTTGACTTGCGCGTCGGCATCTTCGAACATCTCACGAACTTTTCGTCGATGCTCCGCTGCCTGAAAGTCTGCGTGGATGGCTCAGGACTTAGGCTTAGGAGCTCTAAACTAGGGTTTAGGGTTTAGTGACCCTAAACCTTAAATCTTAAACCCTAGACTGTAAGGCTCCAAAGTAAACCGTAGTAGGTACTACTTATTGACTTCGAGGCCTGAAGTAGGTATTATGTATAGAATTTAGGCTTTTGTTATTGAGATACTATCAAAAGTTGTCATCCTCATACAGATATGTACATATCATATCTTATTGGGATTCAGTACGATGCAATCCTAAACCCTAACCGACTCTGAAACCCCCAGAGCACAAAACCCCTAGACCCTAAACCCCTAAACCCCCAACCCCTAAACCCCTAAACCCTAAAACCTTGAACCCCGTAAACCCCTAAACCCCAAACCCCTAAACCCAGGTAAGAGGTCTGAGGCTCAGGGGGTTCGGCTTTCTGGGCCTGTTGGGCCACTGCACAAAAATGCTTAGGGCTAAGGGTTGAGGGTTCAGGATTGATTGCAGTTTTGGAGTTGATGGTTTAGGGTTTAGGCTTTAGGGTTTAGGGCTAAGGGTCTAGGGTTCACGAATTTATGGTTGAGGCTTTATGAAGGTTTAGTTAGGGCTTAGGGCTAAGTGAGGGTTTAGGGTTGAGGCTTCCGGGTGTAGGGTTTACTGTTTAGGGTTCAATGCTTAGGGTTGCAATAAACGAGAAGAAACAAATATGCTAGTGCACATTTGTAATTACAATTGCAGAAAATTTGAGTAATAGCAACAGGAATGGGAATACAAATGATGGTGCTAGGAATATTGACCTTGATAATGATTGTTGTTGTAATCGAAACCCTAAAACCCTGAACCCCCGACCGCGTAAAACCCTAAAACCCAAGTCCTAAATCCCCAACCGCAACAATCATGACGATTGTAAGGTTAACTATCATGATGGATCATTCATCGTAGCCATGCGCTTCCCACAGAGGGGGCCCAGAGATTGGATCTAGCTGAAAAGTCTTACGGGATTTGGGGGTTGGGTCTAGGGTTGAGGGCTCGGTTTTTGCCGTTTTGGGATTAGGGCTTAGTCTTCGGGATTTAGGGTCTACCCAGACCCTCCTATGTAGTTCATTTTTGGGTAGTATATTATAATCCGTTACCCAAAAACAATGACAAACCTAAAAAAAGAACAACTACATTGGAGCCCTTGGGTAGTCGTCAGGGTTTAGGCTTCGGGATTTTAGGGTTCAGATTCAGGCTTTGCGTTTAGGGTTTAGGGCTTAGGGTTCAGGATTCAGGGATTGAGGTTCCAGAGGACTTAGGCCGTTGAAGCATTCTCAAAGCCACATTGTTTAGTGGTCTGCAGGGATTTCTAATGGTTTTTAGGGTTTAGGGTTTAGGGGCTGTTGCTGAGCCATGATGTGGCATCTAAGTTGTGAGGATTCGGTTCTGGTTTTTCGAGCCAGTGCATCTCTAGAGCTTGGTGGGTAGGATCAACCCAAAGGCTCCATGTAGCTATCTATATATATATACATATATATATATACATAGTATATACTTAGGGTTTAAAGGGGTTCCCAAATAACTACTTTAGGGCAATGGTTTGGGTATATTATTAATGAGATCCCCATACGTATACATTGTCCCCCACATTCTATCTACTAAAGGGGGACTATAGGGTTTAGGGTTTAGGCTTGGTATATAGTATATACTTAGGGCTTTAAAGGGGTTCCCATATAACTACTTTAGGCCCCAAATATATGAGGCGGCGTCAAAATTACTTGTTTCTCTCTTGGTTTTTGAATTAGGGCGTCCCTATCGATTTCCACGTTTCGGGGATCTTCTCTTAACCCTAGCTTAAATCAAGTAAGCCTATAGTTTTAGGACGTCCCCTATCGATCTTGGGGATTTTTGCGAAACAACTACCGCCTAGACCAAATGAAGTAAACGGTAATTCTGACCGCGACTCATGTACCATACAGCCACACGAAGCCTTTGGGCAAGGCATTGCTGAGGTTGCTGCTCTCAAGCCTCTTCGTCACATAAGCCTCCCTGCTGAGTTGCATCTGTCAGAACTGCGCCGACATCAAGGCTTTGTCGCACAGAAGGGATTTCTGTCAGTCTGGCGACGCATGCGACACCCACAGGTCGCTATTGACTGCGGGCTTTCACTTTCTAAGATCTAGTTTGACCATAGACCATCACAGGGCGCAAAAAGGAACTGCTACACATTACAGTGCTGCTGCTTCTTTGCAGAAATCTACAAACAAAAGCCTCAAATCGCACGCCCTCACACCCATTGACATTAAGCGTGCCAAGCCTTGGAACAACGCTAAACTCCAGCCACGCATTGACTCCCCAAACCGGGAAGCGTCAAAATTAAAAACTCCGGCAGGGCACTTGACATGCCGAATCGTTGAAACCCCGTAGCCCCTGCATGCACTGAATCCTCATATCCCAAAGGGTCCAGGTAAGTATATAATGTATACTTAGGGCCCAAAGGGGCTCCCACAGTCCAAGTACATACTACGTAGCCACATGGACATTTTGACCTGGACCCCAAAAATGCCAAAGACCCCAGCAGTCCTGAGTGGAACGTTTAGTACTTACCGTAAGTATACTACTTACCAAACCCTACAACTTCTAGCCCGTACCCTAAATCCTGATGTCCATACGCCAAATCTTGAAGCTTTCTCTACCTAGTTTTCGGCTGCGGATGGCCTCCCGACGCAATCGCCCAAGCTCCTTCTTCGCCAGAGCCCTGCGGACTACGCCCGCCTGGGAGAAAAGAACCCTAAATCCAAAATCCTAAACCCCTCAACCTCTAAGCCCTAGACCTTACACCCTAAACCCTAAAGGTTCAGATCGGGCTTGCTGGGGTTCAGGAGGCGCCCACAAAATAGGGCACACTCAAAATGGCACGTCTAGGGCTTGGGGCTTAAGGCGTAGGGAGTTGGGATAGACGACCACTCATAATTGATTACAACCCTATTTACAATCCGTTGACCCCTGTCATCTGTATTTACCAAGCCACATGAAGCTCCAAGCAGGGCCCCCACAAACAGGACAGACTGCCTTCTGCTCCTTGAAATAAGGCCCTTAAGGGAATCCGGGGTTTTCGGAAGGTCTTCTCTGTTTGGGGGGAGGGTTCTTCTTCATGGCCGTGGTGGGTCGTGCTTACTGCTATTCAAGATCCTACCGCTACTGTTGAAATCTTCAGTAATGTTGGACCCTGTTATGCATGGGCACCCTCTTTNNGATTTGTTTAGGTACCCTGTTTAATACTCATACTCCTCATACTAATACCAATACTAATATCACTACTAATACTCATACTAATACTAATATTAATACTAATACTAATACTATCACCATTCCTGGGGACCCCTCAAACAATTTTAATTCAGGATCCAAAAAATTGTTTGGGGGGGGTGACTACATACTGAAGAGGGTGCAACATTATTTCCTACATCCAAATCATGGCTAGGGAGGCCAAGTACAAAACAAAAATGCGATCCAAAACAACAAGCGCGCATAAGGGACCACGGGCTAACATCAGCCCCCACACAGTAACCGTCCCTACGAAGCAGAAGAATAAGCATGCTATACATCCCTAAACCCCAAATCGTAACCCTGGCGAGGTGTTTTTTTTGGTGCATGGGGCCCCTAACCCTAAACTCTAAACCCCAAACCCTAAATCCTATTTAACCAGAGCTTGTGGATTTAGGGTTTAGGGTTTAGGGGCTTGGGTTTAGGGTTTAGGGCCAAATTTATGAGGTATTACTAAGCATGTGAGCTATAGTCTACTCTATCAAGGGGGGTTGTGGGGATTGTATGGGGGAGTAATACAGGGGTTACAAAGGGCGATAGTAGGAGTTTAGACTATGGCTCACGTAGAACCAGCTGGAAAAGAAAATGGCGCATGAAATGGAAATTGGGATTACATGGTGGTGTGTACAGATTAGGGTTCCCAAAAAAGAGAGCGCACTCCCCTAAACCCTTAACCCTACATCCCTAAATCCCTACACCCTAAACCCTCGATCGCCTGAACAATAAATGCTGAAAAACCTGGATCCCAAGAACCTTAACCCCTAAATCCCTGAAACCCTGAACCTGCCTGCTTCTCCAGTTCTGCCGAGCTTGGCCGGACTCGCGGCGCATGCCGGCCTGCAACGGGCTCTGCACTTTTTTGAGATCTGGATGCTGCCTTCGGATCTATAATATAGCTTGGGCACTGCCCCCACCCAGTAACAGTCCATATTAGGGGTCCTATTAAGAGCTATATTATATAACCATATTATATTTCTTATCCAACTGTTACTGAGGGGGGCAGTACCCAAAATACAGCTTACGGTTCAGGGTTTAGGGCTCAGGGTTTAGGATGCTCGCGTAGGATCTACAATGCAGTGCAGGGCTTAGGGCTTAGCATGCTCCCTTAAGATCTAAAATGAAGTTTTGAACTAAGCTCTCTGCCATCTTATATCCAAAACCCTAAACCCTAAATCCTAAACCCTAAACCCTAAATCCTATAAATCCTAAACCCTAAATCCTATAAATCCTAAACCCTAAACCCTACAATGGCCCTTCAACCTTTTGTTCCGGGCCAAAGCTGTCAAAAGCACAGAAGCTGATGAGGTCCGCATATGAAACCTGTCATGACATAAGACAGCTCGCTTGATACGGAGCAACCCCCAAGGTGCAATCTTTCCACTTCTGAGGACTCTAGGGGTTTATATAGGGTTTATATAGGGGATAATGGAAAAGAAAATGGAAACTACTGTAATGGGTTTAGGGTTTAGGGTTTAGGGTTTAGCCCCCCCCGAGTAACAGTCTATATTAGGGGTCCTATTAAGGGCTATGTATAACCGTATTAAATTTATTATCCAACTGTTACTGAGGGGGGGCAGTACCCAAGGTTTAGGATTCAGGGCTTAGGGTTTAGGGCACGTCATACCAGAAGCTCTTAACTTGTCCTGAAAAATTCTGTTTCTGCAGCCAGAACCCTAAACCCTAAACCCCTAAACCCTAATACAAGCAGGTCACAAAATTGTGCTGGCCGTAGATGTGCGGATGTACAAAACTCATGCATTTGAGGAGAGCGTAAATGTCCATATGGTTTATGGTTTAGGGGTACTTTCTCCAAATATGGCGCCCTCAAAATAGATCCCCCAATACTATACTCTTAACTCTTATGCAAACCCCCAATATTGTATCCCTAAACTGGGGAAACCCCAAACCCCATATAACCCCTATGGCAGAAGGGGTCTGGAGTTGGCTGGATCAGCCTTGGGCTTGAGAAGTGCAAGCTCTGTCGTAATAACGACGCCAGAGCCCGTCTGAGAAAACCCAGCGCAGAGCTGTGAGTTTTGCCGACCGCGGAATGCATCCGGACACAGGCACCAAGCACGACTCTGCGACAACCCGCGCTGTATAGCGGCCTGCATGGCATAGACCAAGAGCGGCGCCGATATCGACTGGCCCACCCCAACGCGAAGCCTCAAGGACTCCAAACTGGTGCGAAAGGAAATGGGAGGCGGCCGTAGCCTCCCCAGACCTACCCAACACCAGCAAACCCTGATGGTGAACAACTGAGAAAGGTGTAGAGCGTTGCAGAGAATCTGAAGAGTCCCTGCAGGCGAGCGAAGGAAGCCTTTCTGGGCTCCAACTGTGTGAAATAGTTGAAGCCCAACTTACATAAGTAAATGGACCCTACACCCTAAACCCCTAAACCCTTAAACATTAAACGGATATGATTTTGACAAACTCCAAGTTGCTGGGCTTATGTAAACACAAGTCCCGCAGTGATACAGTCTCAACTCCAGATTCCCGTCCCAGGGTTTGGGATCTAGGTTTCAGGGTTTTGGGTTTTAGGGTTTAGGGGTTTTAGGGTTTGGGGGTCTTAAGGTTTAATGGTTTCAGGGTTTGGGTTCTAGGGTTTAGGGTTTTAGGGTTTATATGGTTTAAGCGCAACTACCCTAACCCAAGTTTACATGGAAGCCTCATGTCATTCCCCCCAGCAGTTGCAGTTGCCACAAAGGGAAAGGACAGTATGATGGGGACCAGCCCAGTAGAAGCGCCAGGCAATCCAAGCAACCCCAAACAAAGCCAAAAACCCTACACCCTGAACCCTAAAACGCTGCAAACCCTAAACCCCAAACCCTAAACCCTTTTCCAGGCCCCAATGGCCCCCACAAAGACTTCTGCTTGCTGAGCTTGGGATCCAAGCCTTAAACCATGGTCTTCCAAATTCCTGAAGCCACCAAACCCTGAACTAGTACTTGATTAGGGTTTATATGGGGGACTGGGATTTTGGGTTTAGGGAGAATGGAAAAGAAAATGGAAACTGCCTCTATATAGGGGTTGCTTTTTCTCTTACACTTGCTCTGCTTTAGGGCTCAGTATAGGAAGAAATCAGAACTGACATCCAACGACGCATCCAACGAGCCGAAAACCCCAAAGCCCAAAACTTCAGGCGCAAGCCTGTGGGAATTCCACCTCCTTTCAAAGCCATCTGCTCCCCACGGAGAACCCTCGTACCTTGGTATCCAGTAAGAGGACTTTGGTAACCCCAGCCACCATAGCAAGGATCCTAGAAGAGTCCTATGAGAGCTATAAGGTTCGAATTTTGAGAGGGTTCAGGCAACCGACAGCCCAATATCATGAATTGCGCTTAAAGTATCAGGGCAAAGGCTCCGGGGGCAGCCCTCCATGCAATCAGCAACCACACTGCGCAACTTTGAAATTCTGTCCCACGACTATTTGAAACCTGCAACCCTGCTACTGCTTGCGCACCAAGGAAGTATCCGCTAGCATGCTGGGAGTGTTTAGCACTGGGGGCGTGCGGGTGTCAGCTACAAAGGGGCAAATCTTAGCTGCATCAGTGGTGCTTTGCGTTGAGGCGCGCAAAGCTGGACCCGTGCTTCGAATGGTTCCATGCGGATAGCGGATAGCATACGTGCAATACATCAAAAACAACCACTACATGATTCTGAATTAAGGGGCATCCCTATCGTGTATTTGCTTCCCTTATCATCCCATATCATTCTTGGATCCAAACACCAGCCCTTGTTCGATAAGCATCCGACTTCACCCCCAAACAAGCGAATCTTTGCACGCTGCTCATTTTGTTTACACTTGTTGAGGACTGAGCATGCACTTGCTGACCGGAGTGGCTTTCTGGCTAGAAGCAGGCTTTTGTTTTCAGCTCGCTGCTGTCTGTTTCAATGTCTGTCAAGGACACTTTCCGGAGGGCACCAGCACGGAACTCATGGTCTAAACATATTCTCTGCATGGCTTCCTTATGGTTCCATGTTGTGGACTACCATACCCGCTTAAGGGTACATGCTATATGCATGGAACTCCGCGGAATGTTCTTGTCCCTGTGCCTACTTGGAGGCTCTCTTGACTTAGTAAGTCATTTGCATGAGGCTTCATTACCGGGGTAGTTGGGAATGGTAACTTGACTTACTGAGTCGAACAGCCTCCAAGTGCTGTACATTCTGTACGGTAGGAGTTGCAGTGTTGCAGACAAGTCACGGAAGTCGTTGTTTGGGAGGGGGTCGGAATCATCTCACTAGACTACTGCCCAAGAAAAAGTGGAGGCGTGAGCGTAGGTAGTGTGCTAGGGGATACATAGAAGTTATGGAGCTCAAACGGCTAAAAAAACACAACCTGGTCCACTCCTTTCCTGATACTTGTTTGAATATACATACCCCCTCCCACACACCTCACCTACACCCCTATGAATGTCTGGCCCGGCTACGGACGGGAAAATGCTGAACCAAAAGCGCTTGTTTTCGGGACATCGGCCCCAAACGCACATCCACCTCTGATTATTGCAACAGGCCTACTGTACAAATGCCGAATACATGTTTGAATGGCTTGCGATGCTGCACACAAAACCGGATGTTGTTCTGAATAGTACATACTGCTGACTACAAAGAAAATCATGTGTAAGTCATCCTTCACAATCCTTAAACAAAGCAATTTGGGAACAAAATGGAAACCCGAGGGTCCCCCAAATTACTAACAAGTAAAATCTAAACCCATCATCTTGAGAATTTATGTATTCGTTTAACAAGTCTTGACAAGCGTGTCAGACCCATACGGCGGATGGAATAAATCATTTAACTACCAAGATTGGGGCCATGCATGGTGCTAGCCTTAAACCCTAAAACCCTACTCCATACTCAGCACGTTACCCTAAACCCCTAACCCTATACCAACAGCGCTAGGCGCTGTTTAGGTCCGCGGCGTCTGCAGCTGGCGAGATTTTTCAATCCGGACAGTAGTCTCTGTAATGGTTTAGGGTTCACGGTTTGTTGAGCTATGTGGAGCCACGGGAAATCGACTCTCCCAAAAAGTCTGGGGGTCCTTCTTTTACAGAATATGATATTTGGAAATATATTATGGGGCCCACTGTTTTTGTAAGATGTGTGCTTCATCTTGACGGGCTTGGCAAAATGACGATCCGTCTACGCAGGGGGCCAGCAATTCTGGGTAACACCCATATGTTACAACTTTGATTATCGAATCGAACACCGTTCAACATGCCCTAGTAGGAGCCCCTCTGTCAATCTCTTCGAAACTGGGTTGAGAGACCACTACTCTCAACCGTCTTACTGAGTTTTACTATTGCTTACAAAGGAGCAGGCGAATGAATATAGGTACTGTATTCGCGGAAAAACAAGAATATAGTTGTAGAGATCCCCCCCAGCGCCCATATAACATGACCTATATGCCCCAATATGGAACTCATGAAACCCAATTGCTGTCGTACCTCTAACCCTCAATCATCATCCTCATTTTCGCTACATCCCAAACCCAAGAATAGTTACAGTAATAGCTCCATGTCTTTTCCACTTCCCCTCTCCCCCCCTGCAGCACCACTAAATAGCTGGGAGAGTGTGGAAAAAACGGTCGAGGCTGGTGGGGAACCAAAGGAAGTATTTGGGGCTAGGCTTTAGGGCTTGAGTGTAGAATTTCGGCATGCATTGCATTCAACAGATAATGCCTTATGCTAGGATCACATTTGTGCGTTGGTAGCTGGTGGGAACTTCTGAAAAGAGAGGTATCCTCAAACCCTTAAAATTAAACCCAACCAACTATCTGAAAAATCATCAAATTCCTTGTTGGATCCGCAGGACCAAGCACACCTGGCCAGAATGTCAGACTACTTTCGCAGGTTTGACCGCCGCCACCACCCACTATGATACAAATGGCTTCCCAAAATTTGGTTCGAATACGGAATACGTAATATCAGGCGTGCGGTTTTGGGGGGAAGGGATTAACAAGCATGCTGACATCTCGCGCAACTCCTGGACAGCTATTTGGGTTCTTTAGATGTTTAGGGTTTAAGGTTTAGGGAGTGACGCGGACCAGCCAGAGAAGGATAACTCTGACAGTAAACCTTTGCACGGTGGGCTAAACAGCAAACATTTCTTTGTGCCCGGAGAATACAGCAAACATTTCTTTGTGCCCGGAGAATATTTGGAAGTAAGGGGGTGCTGATGTTCAAACCTTCGGGCTTCTACTGTAACCCACTCCAATCCTCAACCGCCGAATGGCTGAAAGCCCCGACGTGGCTCATAGGCCTACCATGCGCGCCCTGCGCCAATATGCACACCCCCAAGCAAATAAAGCCTACTAAGCCCTACTTATCCCCAGTAAGCTCCAGAAGGCCCTTGAAAGGGGGCCATAGTAGACCCCTGAGTGGCAAGGGGCTCTACGACCAAGACTTCGCCGCAGCAGACCAGCCCAAGGAGCATGGCCTCCCTCTGAGCTAAGCCCAGTTGCCGATAATGTGTTTGAAGCGTATAGGTACACCGCATATGAAATATGTATGTATGTATGTATGTATGTATGTATGTGTGTATGTACATTCGGCCCATTTCAAACGTTCCGGGGTGGGATAAGCCACAGAAAACCCCACTAATCCAAAAAAAAGTCCTTAGCTTTTTGGGGGCTCCACACTAGGACCTTGACAGATCGGTGGGACAGAAACCCTAAGCCCTAAACCCTACACCCTAAGCCCTAAATCCTTGCTGGTCATGGACCTTTGTCTGCTGCAGGAAGATTTTTGGGGCGTTCTCGCAGCTGTCGCTCCGCAGTTGTGGGTTCATGGTGGTTCTGGGGGGCTTAGGTTTTAGGGCTTTAGGGTGTAGGGTTTAGTTTAGTTGTTTTTCCCCACTCTCTTTGGGTGTTGGGTCTGTAGTGCTTTCGGTTTTGAGGTCTTGGTATTTTCGGCGTAGGATTGAGGACTTAGGCTTGGGATGTGCTATGCAGGTAAATTCTGAAACGCCAATGTTATCCATCTAATTTCTAAAGAGCTATAGAATTTCGTTTGCAGGGAAAGAAGACATGGATCACCCTACACTCTAAACATGCACAAAAGTTTCCAGGTTCCGTTCGAGACCCTCATTCCCTTCTGACAACCAGCAGAAAAACGAGGGTCTAGGGTTGAGGGTTTAGGCCTGCAAAATGTTGCGGCTATGAAGTTTCGCGCCCAAACCGTAATGGTGCTGGCGTGAGTGGACGCCTAGATCCCTGTAGCCACCCCTGTAGAATCCCCCCATGTACGCCTGATGGATACTTGCATTCCCGTCCCCTTGAGCACCAAAACCTAATACCCTCATCGCCTGCCCTCCTGAGCCTAGACACCACCACGAACCCTAAACTCTAAACTTTAAGGTTTAGGGTTTATGGGTTTATGAGTTTAGGGTTGAGGTGTTTAGGGGTGTTAGGGTCAAGGGTCTAATTGGTTGTTTTTGGGCGTCTTGCTGGGAACGGTAAGGTTGGATCGCCTCGGTCTTCAGGTCTCGACGCGGGCCTACTGCTACAATGAGGGTTGAGGGCTTAGGGGTTAACGTTTAGGTTTATAAAGTTTAGGGCTTATGGTGGTAGTACTGAATTTAGGATTTCAGGTTGACAGTAGGATTTAGGATACTAAACCCTTAGCCCTGAAGCTTTAAACTGAAAGAGTTTAGCCACGAGGGCCTAGGGTAACCCTGAACATCTTAATCTCAAACTCCAAATCTGGAACCCCTCAACCTTGAAGCTCTCGACTTAAAACTCTCAACCTTGAGCCTTTGTACCCTACACCCTGAATTGTTGGGGTCGCTTAAGTTTTTAGGGTTTGGGGCCGTTAGGGTTTGAGCTTAACGATTTCAGGCTTAGGGTTTTAATGTCTCGGGTTTCGGGTTTCAACTCTAGGGTTTCGGGTTGAGGGCTCACGGTTTAGGATTGAGGGCTCCATTTTCAGACATGACCCTAAATCCTAAACCCTAGACAATAA